GGAGCTTTTAGGATGTCTTCTCATTAGCAGCATCACAAACGCATAAATTTCACCCAGGTGTAACCATTAATGATAACATACATAACAACTGTATGAATATAATGAATTAAGCTCAAACTCCAGGACCACAACCACTGGCTCCTGCCAGAAGACCTTCGCCTTCACGCTGCCGGCAGTACACCATTGCTGGAATCAGTCCCTAGAGGGAGCTAAGCTCCTGCACACCCTCTAACAGAGAACGATGTCAAGGCTATTCACAAACAAGTTTCAACATAAACTTTGCAATGGGACTGACCGCAAGGAAACTTGGTTCAAACCAGAAGCAAAAGGCAGCTACAAAAAGGGCTGAATTGTGATAACTAATGGATCTAAAACCGTGTAGCTAAGGATAGAGAATAAAGTTATCTGAATCAAAATTTGGCCATATATTTAAAATCCACTTTTTTGCTTGATACGACTTTTAAGATAAAATTTAGAAATTCAGCTAGCTAGCTTAACCACTAGGTTGTAGAATTTTTAATTCTGGTGCATACTTATGGAGAAGTCTTCCAGCTTGTTATAGCTCTTACCTGCTTCCAATTTTCATGTTTGGTTTTTGTTTTCTTTTTTTTTTTTGAACCCTTCTCTCTCAAAGCAAGACTTACAGAGGACTCGGGGTTACAGCACTTATTCACTCGAAGAGGGCACAGGGGCACTTAAAATGTCTTTACAGGTTAGAGATCCCTGGAAGTTTAACACAGTATGTCCAGAAGCAGAGACTCAACAACAAGAACAACAAAAAAACAAAACCAAACCACCCAAAACCAAACCCCTTTGACTGTAGGAGTTCAGTTGTATTGCTTTCAGTATCCACATCAAGAACAGTTTAAGGACTGGAACCCATTCTTTCCTTCACCTCATTTAAAAATCCTTTTTGACTTGAATGAATTCTCAGAAGTATGCATGGAGTCAAGTTTTATGAAGTGATCTCTCCACGGGTCCCTCACCCAAGAAACATATACATTTATTCTAGATGAAGAGAAATGCAAGATCAAAAAACTTTTTGGACAACTTCGGTTAATGAAGATGACATAACCAGTGAGTAATGGATATTTCTGTGGTGTACTGTATAAAAAGCATCACAAGCGTTTCTGAAAGTTTCTCTGACTGAACTCCACATAAAGTGACGCCCATGATGAGCAGTCTCAAAGATCATATTCAGCAAACTTGGACAGAATCATCTTCCTTTCCATGTCTCACCAGAAAAACATGTTCATACTGATAAAGAAACAAGTCCCAGGGGTCAGAAGGGATTTCAGTTTCTGTCGTGTGTGTCTGAGCATACATTGCACTCGAGCTAAGGAGCGCTCTGTGATGTGCACACCTCCCCGTGACAAAAACACACCGAAGAGCAAGTTCCACAACGGACAGCTCATAGCTGCTGCGTTCTCTTCCAGTTGCTACTGACAGCTACCACGCACGCTGTTGCTGGCCTTTGGGCAAGGGAATCTGTATTTTTAAACTGCCAAGCTCCAAGCTCTTCCAATGCCTGCAATGACTTGTTTACACAGCAAAATGTTTTGAATGCACCTGTTTTCTTTGAGAAGTCCACATTAGGCATTTCTGACCACCCAAACTGTCCCCTAGCTTTAAGGAACCTCCCTGATTTCAGCATAGTAACATGAGATAGACGTACAAGGTCATTATCCCTATCCAGCTGAATAATGTCACAACTCCAGGGGTTTGAGTGATCACAACAATTCAGTGGATAAATAATTATTTAATAAATTTTTAAACATGGCACATAACCAATAGAAAAAAAACACATTAATAACAGGTATTTTTTGCCATTACTTCTCCCTTTCATTTTACAGTAACTAGCTCTGGAACTACTCCAGAGAACTTGGTATGATTTTCCCCGAACCTAAATTTAGTCAGGGGAGCATGTATGCTATGTAACAACTTCACACAAGCAGGTTCAGACAATATCAGACCTAGGAGTAAATCCTTACCATTTACTGTGACCAAATATACTAGCTGACATTTTCTTTGAAGGATATGGCTTTCTGATTTATTTCAATTTGGTGACCGTTCAGTTGTCAAATTTTAACCCCAATTAACAATGACAACATTTAACATACTTAACCATTCTGCTATTACCAAGATAAAAGCTCTAAATTTAAATTGGTTAGTGGATCTACTGAGCTAAGAACTATATCAGGAGGGCATAATTTAATTGCTTTGCTATGGGAAGAATTCCACAACCAAATCATTAGAATGGTGTTAAGGACATCTTTTATCTGTTATAATAGGACGAAGAAAGTTATCTTCCGAATATAAATACAGAGCATGTTTCAATTACCCAAAACACCATTTAAAGAGTGAGGTTCAGAACAATCTCTTAACCCACATGTGTTTTTAATCTGTGCACAACCGCAGTACAACATTGTAACCCTTTTAGAAAATTAGGACAGAATTGAGAGCTAACTTTTTAACAGATAACTAGCAGGGTTAAGAAAAAAAGAAAGCTTACATTAAAGTTTACACAATTAAAAAAATAATTTCAAAGCATCTCACCTCTATGTTACTTTCACACTAGATAACGAACCTTCACGGATCTACAAAAGTAATACCTTCCAGGATTTCTGTGATTACATGGTAGCAGCCATTTTAAAGATGATTTTAAATTATTTCTTCTTTCAAGACTGAGATTATGAGAACAATAAACCAAGTAATTTGTTTCCTCTCTGAAAAGACCCTGAATGTCAATCTGACCTTTCCAGTTGTATGGAAGGATGACCAGTAGGCCAGAGAGATTATGGTTCATTTTCACATAATTCAGAAACCATTTCTTTCAAATTGTTATTATTCAGTTCTTAAAACGGATAAGCAAATAAATGATACACTAAAGGATAACATTTTTTTGTTTGGCTTTGAAGATGGTCTTTTCAGCTCACCTTCTGAACCAGGCTGCTCCTTTGCTTCTGTCTGAGTTTCATCAGACTTTACTTCAGTGCCGTCTGCTTGTGTTGCCAAGTTCTGTTCTGGTGCTGGACTTGAATTACTACTGTTTTCTTGTTTTATTGGAGAAGCATCAGCTATTGAACTCTGGTTGCTATTGTCATCTGTTAACAAAAGAGTTAAAAACAAGAAAGCCTAATTTGACAAGATAAAAAGCACATATTAATTTTTCCATACTTTTCCTGTATTATTCCCTGATAACACGATACAGGCTAGCTTGTTTGGGATGAAGTCCGAGCATTTAGACTAACACTACATCTAACTTTTTCCCACACCACAACAATTTTTGCTCTTCCAACCTATGCTGTAATACAGGAGTTTTCTAGCAGTTACTAAAAAATCAGAAAACTACAAAATAGGTGCTCTAACTAATATTATACAATAAAACCAAGAGTGTTTTACTCAGATCTCTTCCAAAAGAACCCACAATTTTGTAATATGAGTAAAACAGATCAATTGCAGTGACAGTCTCATTTTATAGTTCATATAACACAGGGCTAATTACGTGTTCATGCTGCAGATTTACAAATACCCACCACTACAATGTTCAGATGAACACACGGTTTGACACAAGTGTGTCTTGAAGATTAAAAAACAAAAACAAAACAACAAAACCCCATCAAGGTAAAATGTAACATCCAGTCCCAATATCAATAGTTTCTAAGTGATAATTGTCCAGAATATTCTCTAGCCTGCAAAAACTTGGATCACAGGAACTTTCTGCAGCACAGATTGTGTCTCTGTAGTTGACAGGAAATATTCTGCCTGTACCCTCTTCCTGTGAAAACCAATGACAGTGTTCAAGTATCTCAGCTAACACTTTGTGGATAGCAGTGGGGGGCTACTTCCCGTAATCTTCAAGCCAGTCTAACAACCACGGGTAACCAAGAGGGAAGCTCCCGATTCCTAAAGAAAACTAACCCAGCAAAACATTATTAGTTAAATTACTAGCATGTAAGTCAATCCACCTCCTTCTGCATCTGTACAAGCATAACATCCAAAGGACTTCAGAAGCACATAGCTGGCGATGGGACCATCTCTTTTCAGAGCAGCCTGAAGTCAGATCAGATGAAGTTTATCATGAAATTGTACAGTATGGCTTAAAAACACAAGTGATATATGATAAAAAAGCAAGTAATATATTCATCTCCTGGATAAGAGAAAAAAGACTTAAGAAAATTAAATGATCTGACCAAGGCAAACGCTAAGAAGCTTGAAACAAAAGAAAAATTAATCCAGATCCATGAAAATCCTGCGCAATCCTTTAATTTCCAGACCATACTCACTGTGAACACTGCAAAAACCAACCAGAAGACAATACAAACGCAAATAAAACTGAAATGAAAACTTTGCAACCCACTAAAAAGCGATCCCCTCTTATCAGCTTATCAGTGCTGCATTCTCAGCCATAACTGTTATCCAAACACCTACAAGGTAAAAAAAGTGAAACAGAGCTGAGCTGTGCAAGCTCCTCTGTAATAAATATCAGGTTAAGACTCAAGAGTTCACACTTCTAAATAAAGAAAGAAATTGACCTAATAGTGCCTGACTGGCAAGCAAAAAACAAAAAGTTTTCTTGACCAGTTAATTTCATCAGGCTGAAGCAGAAGGAAGACACCACAGAACAAGAGCTTGCTTTCCTGGCTCTTAAGAATTCTTTTTGACCTGGCTCGCCTATAGAGTTAAAAAGTACAAAACCTGCATACATTATAGTAGGTGCCACTGAGGCTTCGGGGGTCTTTTGGTTCTTCAAGCAACAAACTCGACAGAATTACTACTTCATCCGAGTGTAGTATTTTGAATGGTAGCTATTTCTATTTTATTTTCATATTTAGCTCTACTAACAATTTTTTTTTCCCCACACACACAGCCCAAATAAAAATGGCATTTAAAGAACTGTTAGTACATCCACGGAAGAGAAGTCCAAGGTACCAAATGAGTATCTGATGCTGTTTTCACTTTGACTCAATCATGTTGTCCATACATCTGAGCAACAGAGAATTTGACTCTGTTAGGTTATACTTTCATAGCAGCGTAATAGGGTAATTAGGGCTGACCTTCTCCCACTCACCATGCATGTCCATCATCCCTGGAGAGGAGCTGTTCTCTGGAGTGGTCACTTCAGAGCCACATTTTTCATCTTTTCCTTTTTTCTTATTCTTATTTTTCTGAAAAACAAAAGGTACCACAAACAAATGAGACTATTACCATGAAGAGAAATCCATGTTGCAATATAAAACCCTACCCACTCATTACTTCTGCAAGCATCTCTCTTAATTTCAAGTGAGAAATAAAGCCAATGTAATAATAACTGACACTATCAATAACGCATTAGTCCCAGTAACCGCAGGGCTGTTTTTCTAATTGTATTCTTCATGACACAAAACACTACGATATATAGGTTTTTATCCAGAAATTCTAGTAAAGGTTAGCACTTAAACATGTTTTCCATCTTCAAACAACTGCACAATTTTTGTAAAGAGTACAAAAGTTCTCAATAATACCCCTCATTCTACAAACAGGGCATCTGAGGCACAATGATTAAATGGCTTGCTGAAACTGAGTCGGAGAACTTAGGAGGTGCTGGCTGCTAACTTTGTCCAAAGAGCTACAAAAGCAAGGTCAAAAGAATCTCTGCTACGCCAGCAAAAGGGAAGAACATCGCTGATCAGAGGCAGGGCTAAGATTCATGAAACCACCTGATTTCTGAGCTCGTAACTCTGCTCACTGTATGGTTTATGCATATCAACACACTGCTACAAAACTCAGCACATTCTCCCTTTCGTATCAGAAAGCTTGTAGAATACACCTAGACAATATGCATGCATGCAGAACAGGAATGGTAACAGATCTAGAATTTTAACACTGAAGAGACAGCTTTTTACCTCTTTCTCAATGACCAACACTGCAGAGACCTCCTCCTTCTCTACAACTAATGCTGTTTCTTCATTAAAACTAAAAGATGGATTAAGAAAAATCAGATTGGCCTAAAACAAAGAGCATAAGCAAGACAGTCCTACATGAACAATAGGTCACAACATGCTCATGACCAAACAACAGTATGGACTGCAAGCATTAAAACAAAGGAAGAGACAGTGGCATCCATCACGTGGAAAATCTGCGTCTGCTAAGGGATGCAGCATTTTCAATTAAGAGGTGACGTAATCAGTCTCATAGGAGAAAGAGCCAGCTGCACTGCTTTTGGAGGATCCTGCGTGCCTGCTGAGAAGACAATTAAAAGCCTGACTCTAGGAAGAATGCTCGGCAACCCATCCATTCGGATAAGACAGTGTCCTCCAACGAGGGAAGGAACTAAAACCACAATCAAATATTGTCTAAGACTGCAGAAGAAATTCAACAAGTGATATCTGGGAGGACTTTTCCCTCTATTTTAAATAGATTATTAGGCTTATTTTTAAATTGTATTTTTACTTCAGAGAAGCCAGATTTTATTCCCTAGTATGTGAAACAGAGATGAAAGCACATGAACTTCTTTACCTTTGCAAAATGAAAGTTCAGAGGGGACATAGTCTCTCTCAGGTTTCATTGTTTTGTTTTGTTTCAAGGTAAAAAGGACACTTTTGCCACAAGGGAAATATTGAAAAATGACTGCCACCAATTTAGGCTGAAAGGTATTTTGTTTAAGAAGGTTTAACCGTCAAAGCGGTGAGGTTCTACAACACCCTTCCAAAACTAGTAGGAGGAAAGAGCCTAGCTAATTCTAGTTCAAAGAAATGTCAGAGTGTCTTAGGAACAACGTGTGAGGGGGGGAAGTAATCTAATCTGTGTTCACTAAAATCAAAGACAACTTCCCTTTGAAACACAAAGCAGTAAAAAAGATCCCATTCTTCTATTCTAGTAAAAAGCAAGTATACTGTCCACTCCTTCACAGGTAGATGAAATCGGATATAAAAGGATGTCCACAACAAAATTAAATATCCAAGATGACTCCTACCTGATATTTATTTTTTAAATATATGCACTTGTTTTAATTGTGAGAACTTCCAGAGCAAAAAGACAGAAATCTGATGACATCAAGCCTGCAACAACTGCAGCTGTACAATGGCCTCTACTTGTAATGAACAGAACATGACTGTAGGTCAGACACTGAAGTAACTGGTCTTGAAAAAGTGTCCCAATTTCAGCAAATCTGGAGCCTAAATGTAAAGATGATGGCTCAAAAAATACAATTAAATTCTGCACATAGAGACCGTTATATAAACTCGTTCTTCTTAACAGAGAATCTGACTTCAGGTACCAGTCACCTTGAAAATTCATCCAGAAACTCACTAGAAATTCTGTTTCAAAGTTCCATGGTACCCATCATGCGGGCATACGTTAACTGTGGGAAAACAATCTTCAGAAGCCGTGAGCCTAAATATCCTAAATCACCCTCTCTCTCTCACACAGCTAGCACAGCTTTTCCCCCCTATGTATTATAAATAATAAAATCAAGACCAAACATTTGACAACTAGAAAGAATGAACAAGTTTCTGCAAAGAAACCAGGAAAGGCTTCCCAATTCACAAGGGGTTACTTCACAGAGATGCTGCTCAAGCACTGAAGAACACAAGAGGCTTACCGCAACTCTGAGTCACAGAAATCTGTGGTACAACCAAAGGTACAGAAAGAAACAAACTCAGTTAAAACAACGCTAATCAAAAATAGGTCTTGAATTTGGACCTTGACTAAGACAAGATCACGACACTGTCTTGTCTGAAAAACCATCATTTTACACATTTATTAACAGTTGTTTTCTTCCAGACAGGTCTTAACTCATATTTCAAATAAAGTAAAAGCACATGACAGCCCAAGGAAGGAACACCAAACTTAGGATATATATTCTATTGTATCATTAATTTGCTGTGGTACCACAGACTAGTTTTCTCTCCATAACAATATATCAATTTATAAAATGAGAGCAATGTTAATTTTGAAAAGCAATTTGTAAGCCCTATCAACTTTGATTTTTACACTTATTTTTATGCCACGTGATTGTATCATGGCACATGAACAGCGCACACTAAGAACATAAACATGATGCATGCACAAAACATTTATCAAGAGAAAACACACATTACAATAGAAGCATGTCTGCTGTATTGCTTGGGCTGGACATCTTAATACAAGTGATCTCAGTTCCACAGGATTTTCCTACCCTTATTTCAGTGTTTTGCACCTATTTTTGAGCAAAACAGCAGTGATGCACAGATAGAATACATTCTCCGCACAGTTCCAAACCAGCTACTCTCCTTTAAAGCATCAGGCAGAAAGAGGGGAAGAGTAATCACTGTCTTAGCCTTCCCTCCCCACCTCCCAAGTATTACGTTAGAGAAAGGTTTCAAAAATCAGTTTCAAGCCGAACGTTTAAGTTATCTGAGAACTGATCCAAGTTGACTTCGGGAAGACTGCCACCCACTGAACCATCAAAATCACTTTCTGTAGAGATCCGCATTTCCCTAGAGCTCTTCTATTCAAATGCTTGCAAGACCCACACCAGTCTTAGCTTAAAGGCTCAAAGAACAGCGAGCATATTTCTTTCGACTTTCCCTAAACAAGAGTGTCTACATCTTGAAAAAAGCACGACATCTGCAGGATACTTACATCATCGACTTTAGGCTCTGTTACTGGTACCCATTTGTAAATCCTTAGGGATGTGTCGCCAACTGTCACCCACTTCTTCTCCCTACAAAATTACAATGCAGGAGAAGTTAAAGTTAAACTTCGGATTCAAAAGAAAGTGATCTACTATTGCAAGTTGTCAAGGATTTAAATAGGCTATTAAGTAGGATGATCTCTATTACATCGTCTTGAGTACTGCATTGTGCAAATTGTTCTTTGCATTTCGCAAACTTGTTAGAGCACTGCTACCCTCCAGATTTCTCAGGGCTGTTACTTGACTAGGTGAGTAACTGCAGTAGCAGTAATAAGATCTGGATTAAAGATACGGTTAAGAAGAACAGCTATTGAAAATGCAGATTTAATGCCTACAATTTCCACTTAAGTTTCTAGAGAGCAGAAGAGGTTTTAGACCGACCAGTGTGGTTTGATTGTCATGAAGCTGTTTAATGGTATTAGAAATCTAAATGCATTTTGACCATCTGAGGTTTATTTCTGGGTAGAAATTTGCTGCTAGCAATTTAACATTCACTCAACACTCCTGTCAGACAGCTCTGAAATTCTAGCCTTAGAACCAACAGCCTTATTGGTAGCAATATGTGCTGTGATGCAGAATTCAGACTCTGGAGAGCCTAGCTCTCTTGGACAGCAAAGGCTGAGAAGGCTATCGGAGAGGGAAAAAGCATAACCTACAGCACTCTGTGCAGACCCCTGCCAGCCAGCCGTGAAGTCGTGACATTGACAAATTGTGAAGGAGGGCATCTGGCTGGAGGGCATCACTACGTTAGGGGGTCACGCAGACACAGAGTGCGGAGACGGGAAGGATGCTGAACACTTAGTTAAGGGATGAATTCCTTGAGCTTTTTACACAGAATATTAAAGGTCCACAATGCCAGAGAAATTTCATCACGTTTCTGTGATCAGTTTTCAGGTCACAGATTACCACTGCTGGTTCCTGGGTTTGTAATATAGCTCTGCAAATGGATCGATTAAAAGTTAACAACAAAGACCAATTCCATTAAATATTCAGGAACATCTGAAATTAATTTGGCATGAGATCTCAAGCATTTTTTTAAAAAAAACACATTTAAGTAATAGATTTGGGATCCAGTTATAGATTTAAAATTTTTTTTTAAATGTTCTTTGCAGGATGGGAGAAGCTGGATGTGACTCCAAATATATATGTGATAGCTCCATTTTTAGAAAGGGCTTCCAGAATCAAAAGCAGCCACATTGTACAAATGCCATAAACATCCTCCTGACTATTTGTTTTAGCTACTAAAGCCAATCTTATTTGTTTTCCCTTTAGAGGAGACACTTTCCTGTTTAAAAAAAAAAAAAAAAAGCTATATATGACAATTTTATAAGTTTTAGATCAGTCCACAAGGATATTTTCATTAAAGTACAAAAACATTCCAGATTCATTTCTTTCCCACTGCTCTTCCTGGAGCACAGTTTTTCCTCAATGTGTTTAGATACATCCATTTGGGTACGTTAGACGGGTAAAGTATGTCAAAACCCAATTTTACGCTAATTTGGAGCTCTACTGCTAGATGTGATAAAAATGACAGTGGAGATGAGGGCATATCAATAATGAGAGCATACTTAATTGTGAAGAGATGATCATGATTTTTTTTTTTTTTTTAAGGATACAAGACAAACTAAACTTATTTCTACTTCGGAAAACCTTTGAAATTATGGGAATAAAACCAGCTGGGGCTGTGTTTTGGGTGTGGGGAGAGGTGAATAAATGCTTTAAAAAAAACCAAGATTTTAGTCTTTTCCTACAGCAAAATATTACTTAGAGATGCTGCACTGGAAAACCAAAAGTTCAAGATACCTGTTAGCATCTCAAAGCAGCCTCACACAGCATCTTCACTGGACAGACTGTAGAACACAGGAGGAAACCTATATTAGTAACTTTTTCCTTCTAGTATTAAACTTAGCCCTGACATTTTAATTCTTTTGAGCTTCTTAAGTACCACTTTAAGTTTTGACAACCCTCAGCTATAGGGATTTTTTTACTGAATTCAATACACAATAATTCAAACAACGGGCATAAGGATATTTTGTGATGGAAGTACACCAACATCCCAGTCCTGCAAACACTTATGGCTAAAAAAAACCCCAACATCACACTGCTATTATTCAAATATTTTACATGTGTAAGCATTTACAGTATTGAAGGTTTAAGACCATAAAAGTATTAATAAGAAAAAAAGAAGACAACCTCCCCTAAAACTTAATAAAATCATTGGCAGCACAAACACAACAAAGAAATGTAATGACTTTCAGACGTTTAAGATCAACAGAGCAAAATAACTTCAGGATTTAGAGATGTTTATGGCAAATAAAGCTTTGAGTATTATCTGTAATAATTACTGCCTTCCCATTTCAAAACAAAACCCCAAAACCAAACCAAACAAACAAAAAAAAAAAACCCAAACCCCCAAAAGCAGTTCTACTCTGAACTCACTTTTTATCTTTTGTGCAAAGACACCATCCCAACCTGCTGATCAGGGACTTTCCTTTTCATTTAGTTAGAATTGACAATTTACTGATGCTGCCCATAACAATAAGCTTACTAAGTGCTGCACAATCTACAAAATATTCTCACTGACCAAATGCCTGGGTAGGAACAAGGAATTAATGAACTCTTGTGCCCATTCCACTGTGAAACCTTAAGTAGTTTCTCCACCTGTTTTCCTGTCTGTAAAATGGATCTGCTGTTGAACCCACTCATCCTGAGACCCTGACGAGAATTCTACCCCCGTAACTATTCCTCCTTTGTTAAGCGGTCACTAGGCAATATTTTTTATTATGTTATACCGTTACGTCCCCTGTTATACTATATAGGTTGATCTCTATACTGACTGGTGGACTAGAAAAGGTGGTTGATGGAACACCACCAACCTGAGAGTTAATCAGGCTACAAATATGGCAATTATCAACTTTACTTGCCCATGTCTAGCTGACAAACTCCATAGCTTTACAAAAAAACCATTTTTTCTGATTTCATACCTCTCCTGTTCCTCCATGAATGACTCAGGAGTAACAGCACTGGAAAATGGCAAAACTTAAAATATATACAATAATATTTTTTCTTTTAATCTTCCACACTGAAAATTATCTTAAATATTTTAGTTATAGTAAATTTAGAAACTAATCAATGCAACAGAAACAAACCCTCACATTTATCTGAAACTGTGTTGAAGCATTGTTAAATTCTGAACCATATCTGCATAGCATTTAAAGGACAGTCAAGGATACGTAGGGTAAGCATTAGTATCAACACTTCTTTAGTGCTTATGCCTGAGGCATACTAATATCCTAGAACTTACATAATTATATACTCAATTCCCCATTCTAAATAACCCAAGACTCTTAAATATATTTATATTTTGTATATTAACACTAAAGCTCCAAAGATGAATACCAAATTCCATGTATAAAAGTAATATACCGGTGAGCAAACACAACAGTGTATATTACACTTATACATAAAGTGTCAAGGCAGCTTCTGCAGCAGCAATGAGTGCTAGAAACATTTGATGGCACAGAAGCAGAAAGCCTTTACTGCCAATATATTATCATTCAAGAAAAGGCTTTCACACTTGTTTGGCTTTTTACTGTGACTATCATTTATCATAGTGATCTGTATTTACACAAGGATTTGCTCCCACATACCCCATCTTCTGTTGATGATCACGAAGTGACGTCATAATGCTGAATTTATCACATCACACTCACTTGCATTGCAACAGAGTTTGGTGAAAATCACAGAATTATGACCTCCCTGTGGGATCAAGCAAAGGAGAGAGGGGAATGGGAAAGAAAATGCCATTATTATACACAAAAAGTGCTGTAAGATGCACAAAAAAAAAAAAAAAAAAAAAAAAGATTTTTGTTTTTAAACGTAGGCTTGCGTGTCAGAGCATGCCTATTGCTATGTAGATATTTGCCTAGTGACTAAGGTGAAGTAGCCCCAAATATACATGGTGTTTCTTGACCATGCTGCAAATACACTAAAATACCACGCAGCATGAATGGACAAAGACTAATGGTTAAGGACACCTTCTCTCTGAGTTTATCTAAATATGGTGCATTATGAGAGCCCCCCTTTAACTTACACAGGCCAGCATGTTTTTAAGAAGGTTCTGCTATGTTCCGCGTTGCAATAAGCACCTTTTCTTACAGTGAAGAGAAACATGGCTTATGCGTGACAAAACTCTACCTTTAGCATACATCCAACTTCCACTGAAGTCAGAGAGCATATCCTGGCTCAAAAAGAAATAATCATGAGCCAGAAAAAATGTATCATAATTCAAGCATGATAACAGTGTGTTTGAGACACTACAGTACTTCAGTACAGTTCCTGCAAATACATGGGGTATTTTTACTTCAACTGCCGCTACATGAACTACAATCTTAGCAGGAAACCAAACACAGCCAATGTAGCCAGACTAAACTAGGGTGGCAATCTGGTAGTAGCGAACAGTCTTTTCCAAAGACATCATGTTAAGTAGTTCTATGTCATAACTACTTTTCAGAGCGAAAGCCTGTTTTAAGAAGGAAGCACGAGCAGCAAAACCTGTAGAAGCTCCATCTCAGAGCATTGCATACCACACAAAAATATTTTAGCAAGTCTGAATGGAGACAGTGAGCAGAAAAGCTACAGCAGCGTTGTCTAGAAATCCTACTCTAACTAGCCACAGCTAGCGATCCCCACCAACGGCACCAGGTAACATGATCTCGCTGCCCGTTGTGACTTTGCTCCTCAACTTTTACACAGCGTGCTTTGTATTAAGCTACATCCCAAGTCATGTCTGGCTCTACAGCCAATTCCCTGCCATAATAAATATTCAGCACTTTCTGTAAGTACTTTCATCAGTTGTCCAAGTTCACCTCTTCTTCATAAGGTGCTATCGCTATTCTTTGATTGCAGCTTTGACGGGTCAGAAAAAGGTCAAACGACTTCTGCAAAGATACTGCAATTCAAAGACAAGGCAACGCAATGGGATTTCCTCATTCCTGGGGCATTCTCTAAATCAGGGTACCCATCTCCGCCAACCACACCATAGCTCCATCCTTCAACAGTCGCAGAGTTGTCCAAAAGCTCAGCAGTGCTACGTACCCGTGCAAATTATTTCACTGCCTCCCAAGACGCCCTACCACTTATGCTCGCCTCCTGCCCATTACTTGTCTTTTAGTAAATGGCTGCATTTTCTTTCACTTAATAAATCAAACTTTTATAAAAGAAGAGTGTTTCCATTATTTTTCTAATGCTGATTGAGGGCACAATAGTTTTTGCCTCTCTCTCCTTGAGGACCCATTTAGAAGCTACACATACCCATCACTCTTTAAAGACAAAAAACAACCCTGTACCTTTCACAATTCCTTGAGATAAATTTATCTCAGAGGATTTTTTTAAATAGACTGAAAGAAAAAATGTTAAGTACTGTTAAAAAAAAGAACTACCCTCTTAGCCATGGAAAGTTAACGTTTTTGCCACACAAATACGACACAACCATGTATTCCGTAAGACACATGCTATGTGTTTTCTAAAATAGATGCTCATTCATGAGAGCGGTTTAAACAAAGGAGATATGGTTACATTAATCTCAAGATAAAAACGTAACAACTTCGCTGTTTACTACTAAGTTCCAGTAACACCAGAAGTGCTAGGCGCTCTACAAACACACATAAAGATAGGGTACCTGCATCAAAGGGCTCACTGTCTAAGAAAGAACACATATTTTCTAAGGAACAAAGTCTTCACTGATGGAAACTGCTTCCCAAGAGGCACGTTCACAGCCGTGGCAGTACAGGCATTCGGTAATATTGCACAGCAAGGCTGCCGCACACCTTCCCAGACCGATAAAGCTTTGGTCAGCACGCACCAGAGCCGCTGTCCGCTCAGAAGAGTTTATAGCTCGGTCTGCCTCTCTCCTCATCCTCGGCACGCAGCACTCCGAGCACACGAGTCTCAGAAAACTCTGCTTTATGAAATGTTGGATGCAAGGTATTTTAATCTTCAGTGGCTGCATTTCCACAGAAGAGCTGTGGATGGCAACAAATTGCTCCTATTATGCAAATAAAACTGCACACTTGGAAATTGCCTATGTGACTCCTCTGAAGATGCAGGAATCGCTAGTGTGTAAAGTTCAATTTAACAAGCCAAGTCTTCTCAAAACATTTAGACCACAAAACACAGAATCTCTCTTGCTAATTTCCCACTGTACTTGACTGCAAGTAGGGGGGGAATCATGAGATACATGTTCAAATTGTGATTCCTTTACAAATAAGAAAAACGGTTAATGTAAATACTTGTGAGATGCACACACAAAAAGCCATATGAATACTTCTGACAATAATCAAAAGAAACATCGCATGATCCTGTACAGGAACGCTTTAAAGCAAGTTGCTTCTCACGAGGGTTAAAACATACAAAATCTATTTATACTGTAAGATTTCTGTTTTATAGAGGAAGCCATAGCAACTGACATGATGGCAGAGAGCCCTTGCCAAGAAAAAAAAAAAATTAGACATTTTGTTGAATGGCCAAGCTTCTGCCTCTACTCCTCTATGAAATCTGCAAATGGGGATTCAAAGGAAGTATGCTCTGCTCATGAATGAAATACCTACAGACAAAATAGTCCCACACATCCAACAAGGCTCCTGTTTAAACTGAAGTCCTGTCACATCGCTATACATTGTTCCGACCCTTCAAAGCTGGCCCACCAGTCAGCAAACAGCACTTAAAAACACCACCGGAGTAGAAGAGAGTTCCTGAAACCAACCGAACTGTGGTGCTCGGGCTGCTCTGGCTCCCTACACAATGGCCGGATTCTTTGAAATCCCCATCTCGTGCCCCGCGTTACTGGACACACGTCCCGATTCTTTGTCCGGCTCAAGCCAACGGGCCCATTCATCTGCTCGAGGCCATTTAAAACGCAACAATCCGTTTCACCCGAATAACACACGTTTAATTCTGTAGCCCGCTTTTCTTTCAACGAAAGCGAAGCGTTAGCTGTGGACTGCAATAAAAGTGCCCCCTTATTTTACCAGGTTCAAAAAAGCTGAGTTATGCAGGTTAATACTAACCCAAGGGACTTCCCCGTGGATTTCAAATGTTGAAAGAAAGAAAGTATTTTAAGATACATGCACAAAGACCACTGAACAGTCAGTCAACTTGCTGGAAGAAAGAGATTCCCTCTCGAGTCACACTGGCACTGCTCTTTATCCCATCCAAGAACCCTGGACCGACCGCGCAGAGCATTGCAGTGACTGTTTTACTGTATTGTTTAAACACCTCACGTTGATTTTCCTAACAAAAGCAGAAAAAGACAAAAGCGGGAGAATGCCAACACACGTTTAAGGCCTAACAAAAGGGAATTATTTCGCTAGGGGTACAACCTTTAATTATATAATTTAAAACAAATTCCAGCGGCAATTACGCGCTCTCTCCCGCTCGGCTCGGGATTTACACCCGCCGGAGCATTTGTGGAGAGGATCCCGCTCGGGTTTGCTGCCCTTATGTGCACACCTCGGGAACTTGAAAGGTAGAATAAATACGTGTGTAATAATAAAAAAAAAAACTCTTGGGCGCTTCACAGGGGTGTTTTTAATGCTTCTTTTTTTAAAAATACTTCTTGGAGTTCTAGTTCCACACAGACCCGGGGGCGCAGCTCCCCCAGGCCCGCTCCTCGGGGCCCTTTGTAGGGGACGGCGGCGGGAGGAGCTGGGCCCGACCCGCCGCCCGCCCCCGTCGCCGCCCGGGATCCGCGGGACGGGGGGCCGGGGGGCCGCGGGGGGGGGGGGGGGCCCCCGCCGAGCCACATCCCGGTAACGGGACGGCACCGCAGCCTTGGCCAGTGACCGCTGCGAGCAGGCCACCGCCCCAGCCGTGACCGCGGA